GTGGGTATTGTAGTTAGTTTTTGAACAGGAAGAATTTTTCCTTTTTCTTTTTGATTGCCTTCTCGGGCTCCTTTTTTTCCTATCCCTCCTAGAGTGAGTTAATTGTCAGTTCATATGGGCTTCTAAACATGTTGACTTGGGCTAAACCTCATAAACATATAACAGAAACTTTGATTCTAGATGAGGAACTGAATAGTTTTGCTGACTCAGAACCACCTCAGAGAGTCAGTTTTTAACCAGAGTAGATCCATGGAAATGCAGCCATGCAGCCATCATTCAGAATATTTTAGGGCTATTTCTTAAATAACTTACTAAGTTATTAAACAATCATAGTACTCTATCTCAAAGATAACTGTAGTGTTATTGAAAATAAAGTGGTTTCTCAGATCTACCATCACAGAACACATGACTTAACCAGTATTGTTTTTGAGATCTGTGAATTATTAATTAATTAATTAGTCCATGCCTACACACCTTTGATCTCAGTGTGTGGGAAGCAGAAGCAGTCAGATCTCTGAAACTGGGGCCAGCCTGATCTACAGAGTGAGTTCCAAGACATCCAGGGCTACACAGAGAAACCCTGTCTCAAACAAGCAAACATGCCCTCAATGTATCATAGTCAATAAAAACACAACAGAGAACTTCCCTAATAGCAGTTTTCCCTGAAAAATAAAGAAGAAGCCAAATAATAAGACTTAAAAAAAAAGATGTGACCCTGAAAAATATATATATATATATATATTTGAGATCAAGACAGCCTTGCTTACATCAAGTATGCATATGTAACACCAGTACACACACACACACACACACACATATATATGTATGTATATATATACATATATACATATGTATATATATACATATATATATATTGCAACCCTGTATCTGAATGCTGTGTAAAATGCAATGTTAAAATTCCTGTCTTTAAAACCAAAACCTTAGGTATTTTTTATGTGCACTGAAGTGAGTCTCACGCTCAAAGTTAAGGGATGCTCTGTTCCCATTAAAAGAGATTTTCCGATGGAGCAGAAAAGGGAAAAGACTTAGTGTTGCCATTGACTTATCTGACCTCCTGGGGAAGGGGTAGCTCTGCTGGTAGAGTAGGCAAGCACAAGCCCTGAGGTAGATCACCAGCACCACACTATCCTTCTTTACAGAGCAAGTTCGTGGCCAGCCTGAGATACATGAAGTTCTGTGTCTAAGTAAGTGGTTAAATAAAATGACATACCCCAACAAACTCACCTTCTAGAGCATTTACTCTGAAGACTCAGGGGGACATCTCCTCCTCTTTTTTTAGACAAGTGAAGGACCAGAAGCCTGCCTGGACCCTCATTTGAATGAAAAGGGGAATGTTATCTCAGATTGTCTAGAAAGAAGAAGATGACTCTCAATGTTTTCCAATCGCCTCATGACTATGTAACAAAGAAAGGAAAAAGCATTGGGGTGGAGAAAAGGGTTTATTGGAAGCTGAGACAAAACATGACCACCTGGTAGTAGGCCTTTCAGGACCAGCCTATAGTGATTCTGAGCTGGGGAAGTTTGCTGAATCCACACTGTTCCTGGCGGACACTGGGTGGCGCTCATAGTAAAGACTTGCACTTCTTTAGGGTCTCCCCCATCACCACACACCCTTTGCAAATTTCAGCTACCCAAAGATGAAATTACAGGCTCCCTGCATGTCTCAGCAGGGAGCTTTGCTGGAGGAGTTTGTGATGCGATAGGATTGTTTCTCCACCCTTGGGTCAGTTGGGATTTGAGAAGCAATAGTGTCCCATCACTGGCTTTGAAGTCAGATCCACCTCCACAGAACTGGTAAAAAAAATTAGATTGCTGGCCGGAGAAAACTCCAGAGTATGTATCCAAAAGTGCTGACCAGACTCGCAGCTGGGCCTGCAGCACACAGAACACAGGGAGTGTATCTGTGACATGAAACAGGACTATATATTGTGAGCAGACTCCAGGCTTTCTATAGTGGCCCTCCCCTATTTTTGGTGATTTCACCCTGAACTGGACTTAATACAACAGGCTTACCTCTGCATAAGGACCAGTGTTTAAGCACCTCAGGCCGTATGTAAAGATGGCGCATCCTTTTCTCCTTACCAGTTCTTTTTCATTGTTCATAAATATATATAGTTCATTTTTCATAAACGTATTTACGTGTGTAATGTGTATTTACATACATATGTGTATATGTGTGTAATATATATATACATGTGCAATCATATGTGTGTGTACATGTATGTGTGTATATTTCCACTGAAAAAGCAGCACATAAATTTTAGCAAGATCTAGAATTATCTTACCAACATAACATGAAGTATATCTGCAGTTTCCAGTATCAGGCTCATGGGAGGAAGCAGCCTTCTCACCAGGTTCTAAGAGCTATGGTACACTCATCCCGGTGATGATGACCTCGCTGACCTTTTTCCCTCCTGGTTATTACGTTTATATACATAGTAAATCGAATTAGGGGCACTGAAGGGACCACCCATCTCTCCGCACCTTTTTATTTCTTTAACTTTTAAACACTTTGACCAGCTCCAGGCATTGATTTGGAAGACAGATTTGTGCAAATAGGCTCCGTGGATTAGGGAAGCATCTTTGAGCAGGCCAAGCTCACAATCCAGTAAGGTCAGTGGTGTGTTTGCCTCCTTGAAGATATTCATTGCAAATATAGAACCTGGACAACCATATAAAAATCAAAGGCATGGGATCAGGGCCATGGAACAGCAGACATTTGTTGAACCCACACATCTGTGTCAGAAGAGAAATCTAGAGACACCAAGGCTGCAAGCAGGGACTCGAGATAAAGAAAAGAGTGGCCCTGATTCATGCTTGCTACCTCGAGTTGACAAAAGCTGAAGTTGACCACCCAAGGAAAAGTAACAGTAGCTATGGGTATATGGGGCCCATATGCACATTGACGCACATGTTGCTGCTTCCAATTGCAACTCCAGATTCCAGAGAGGGCCTGGCATCCTGCTTCCAGCTCTCTGACAGAGGGTGGGAGGTCTTGGTAATAGTGTAGCCAAAATAAGAACAAGGTAAAGTTAGACAAAACTCGGGCAGATTTTCACTTCTTCCACTGGCAAAGGGGTAAGAGGAGCCAGAAGATTCCACCCAGAATAGTCAATGACACTCCAGGCTTCCTGGCCATAGACCCCAAAGAGAAAGACAAAAGGAGGCCCAAAATAGGATATAACTCTTTTTTGAGAGGAGTAGACAGAGAAGTAAGGATTATGATACATTCCTAAGCCCCCACTCAATCAGAACTAGAGGAAAAGCCCATAATGACAAAATAAACTTCTTTTGGTGGCCTGTGCCCAGTGTATCAATCTTGAGCCCTGCTGCCTTTGTACATAAGCTAAGATGTTCAGTGGACAGGAAATAATGGGAGAACACCACAGAATCCAAATTAGGGAATTCAGAGGGTCTTGGAGTATATGTAAGGAAATGAAGCCAGGAGAGGGTCATCAGTGATTAAGACCCCCATCTCCCAAGCGGACTCCCTTCCCTGCCTACTTTGTGGTTTTCATATTCCATTTGGTCTGGAGGCACACTCTATGTCACACACTCAAATAAGTTCACTTTTGCCGGAATCTGGCTGCTGAACTGAGACACAAGCCATTCTAGAAGCTTCCAAGTAGTTGAGGATATTGAGCAAAAAGTAAGGCTGCTCAGCTCTTCAGAAAAGCAAACTAAGAGTTTAGGCAATGGCAAAATATTCAGAAAGAAGACAATGATTTTTAGCAGTCCCTGTAAAGACTGCTGTTGCCACTGACAGCTAAACGGACATCTAGATTCTTGAACATCTTTGTGGAGTCCTCTTTTGGGTCCGCAAAACTGCTTGCTGCACATCAGTCTGTTTTCCAGTGTACACATTTTCAACACAAATTAGTTGCAACTTGCTTCCCAACATCCCACTAAAACAATGCTGCTCTCCGTTTGTTCTCACCGCTCCTCTAATACTGCACCTCCGACATTCCCACAGCAGCGTCCCGTTGGAGTCTCTGTCCTCTGTCGGAGGAGGGGGGGAGAGGACAGGACAGGTAGGTGTAGAGCGAGAAAAGGGCATCATGGGGCGCATCCTCCAAAACGCGTACTTTTGAGAGTGCTCTTTAGAACACGTTGTCTTCAAAGAGCACAGAGCTGGGCCCTGGGACTGCTTGGTTTATCTATTCACTAAAAACAAATCGACTGAGACATTCCCTCCCCCAACAACAACACCTATAGTATAGGCTCACGCTCTCTCCTCTTCCCTTCTCTTCTCCTCTCTCTCTCTCTCTCTCTCTCTCTCTCTCTCTCTCTCTCTCTCTCTCTCTCTCTTCTCCCTCCCTCCCTCCCTCCCTCTCCTTCTCTCTCACTCTTTCCCTCCTTCCCTCCCTCCTCCTCCTCCTCCTCTTCCTTCTCTCCCTCTCTCCTCTCTCTCTCTCTCTCTCTCTCTCTCTCTCT